GCCTCGTGATTTTTTTTCATGAAAAAAGTGTGCCTTTGCACAAAAAAGGTTGAAAAACACTGTTTTAGAGACATTTCAAAACCTCAGCATGATTTCAGGAAAAAAATCTCCCCTCCTTCTAATTTATCCAGAATCTGGAGAGGCATGGAAGCTCATTCTTGATAAAATGCTAGATTTTAGATGTGTATAGAAGCAGTGAGATGCCTTAGGACTCTATGGCTGCCTATGAACTCCAAGATGAGGTCAGAGACCTCACCTGTCTCCTGCAAGACAAAAAGATGTGTTCACTATTGGAAATTGCATAATTTATGCAAAGATTTTTCTTGTACTTATCACTTTTTAAAACATCTGATTTTCTTTATCTCACCAGCCAGAAAAATAATTTTACTATTCATCCCACAGTACTGCTAAATCCGCTTTTAACTACACTAGTGCTCTACACATGTTTACAGACATGTAATTCTAGTTCATTTTAACTTAACTGACTTAAGAGGGTTGAGATTCAGTATAGAAATATGTTTCTGATTGTTATGCTAGACCACTCAAGGAGAAAATTGTCAACTTTAATTAGTATACTTGTGTTTGAAATAAACGTTTTACAGAGCATGTATATACACACATAATTTTGTTAGCTACAGCAGCAGTAACAGAAGACAACATTACATTTATTTAACATTATGTTATGAGTTTAAAATCTTCCAATTGTTATAAACATGCTTTTCTGTATTCCTTGGTTTTTTAAACTTGTTCAGGTCTAATGCATCTGATATTTTAAGTTAAATTCTGCCTAAAAGTGGTCAACTTTGAGAATACAGAAAACATTGCATAGGCAGATTAATCAATTTACATACCTGTGGTTTCTCAAGTTCCCAGAGCCTAGTCATGTGTATACTGTCTTTATTTTTTTCATAGAGAGTAAAACATAACTTCTACCAATGTTTGTAATTGGTTTTCACACTGCCACCTATAGTTAAATGGAAGAAATTAAATATATGTTATATCTGCTGTAGCTAACTGTCACATCCAAAACTCTAGTCCAGAATGCATGAAAAAGTCTCAGGCATTCCCACCAATACATGCATTATATCCATTAATTTTTTACAAGGTAATATAATCCCACTCACTCTCAGAAAGTTCAGTATAGGGTTTCAGCCTTTAAGTATTCATTTTATTTCATTGAAATTGTATGAAGGGTAAAAAAAAGTAAAATACCAACTTTGCCTTAATGAATGTTTTATCTGCTACGTTGCCTGATATAATAGTATATAAAAGTGAAGCAAATTGATGTGATTATCTAGTAATAAATGCAGACACCCTCATAAGCATATAGTTTACAAGAAATATTATTCTACAAAATATGTACACATTTTGGAAGCTAGTAAACAAAATTTAAAGGGAATAAAGATATATTAAGATATGTTCATACGTAATACAACTAATCTCAACCAACACGTTGATCAATCTCATCAGAAATCCTGATCACTTTATTATAATATTTTTAATATTCTTACATTTTTATATGCTTCTTACAAACAAGTCCAATGAGTCCCCTATCGGAGGTTTTTCCTTAGCAGTGCTATCCCATTGCCATCACAACTACTGTAGTAATAATAAAAGTTAAGTTGGAGACTAATCCCTTAAACACTGGGCACAGGTTGGTAGTGATTATTTTATCTTAAATCAGATTCCAATGCTCAGTTGCATCTAGCCTCTTCCTTCTTCCATGCAGGGCTGTGGACTAATGTCCTCCTTCCTCGAAATTACTCCTGAATAAAGATCGTGTTTTTGCACATGGCAAGCAACCCTCCCTGCCAACTCGACGCCAAGCCACTTGTCAAGGTACCTACACGCTGTTTTTGCTCTCTTCCCCACTACAGCTCCTCTAAGTCGAAATCGCAAAGTAACAATAAAACGCAAGGTAGTTCCGATATGCCCGCTAATGCTGCCATAAGCCACATCATACACATTTAGTTTACAGTAGCCTGCGTGTGCATTTTTAGATTGTCAGTGGTTAAAGAATTAAGGGAAGGAGAAACAAACCTCATTTTCCCTCCCTCGATTAGTCTTCACTACCATCCAGCCAAAGGAAGATATCAAGTTGTAAACCGTAATCTCTTGAGACTGAGAAAGACAGACTGGCACCCACGACACACACGTACCCAGAGCCATCCCGGACTCGCTGTTGGCTCTTGGATGCCGGCCTCCCATCTGCTGTCCTGTTCCCTCTTCCCCTCCCCAAATGCATGTCTGCAGCCACCACCGGCTGACAATGCGGTGGAAACGGGTGTTGCCCACCTGCGCACATGGGCTTCGGCTCTCCCTCGCGAGCACAGCCCCTCTTCCTGCTGGTGCCGCAGGATGAAGTGTCTGCTGCTCTTTGCAGCTCTCTGGACGCCCCCCCCCTCCCTCTCCTCTCATGCAGCCCGCTCCAAACAGCCAGGGGGAGCTTCACACTGCGGGTGCCGCTCCTTCGCCGCTTGGGATTCCTAAGGAGGGAGGGAAAACGAGCAACTCCTCTCCTACTCGTACGCACGCCGCGATTCCCGCCCCAGACGGCCCGCCAAACGCGAGCGCGTCCTTTGTGAGATACATTCCTCCTGCCGGGTCCCCTACGCCAGCGCCCCGGAGCTTGCAAACTCCTGGCTCATAGAGTATAGCCGGTTCCTTCCCTCTTTCCTCCTCCTCTTCCTCCCCCCCCCTTGCTTTTTGATCACATGCCCGCGTCTCAGGCGCCGCTTTCTGAGCGCAAAACTCACCACAGCCTGCCAGCTGCCCAC